TAATTATAAAACATATTAGCGTCAAACATATACAAGATCACGCTGACAGGATCCAACGTATCGTTTTGACACCGCAGACGTGTGTAACCTTGGGTAAAAGTTCTGTGAAAACTGCTAAACTTGTAAGAGAGTTGGGTGAGAATATCTTGTGTGGCTCTAATTTAGGCAAAAGCAGTAAAACCAAGGAGCCAGAAGACAGCAAGTAGTCAGACAGCAGAGAGCCAGCCTATGCAAGAAGCTGGAGAAGCCAGTTTCCCCACTCTTGACACTGCCTGGCCAGCAAAGACTAAACAGACAACTTACAGGGGGTCAGGTGCTATTATGCAGCCATGTAGCTCACATGTCCTAGTTAACTACTGTGTATTTGGGTCAATACAAGAATGTTTTAAAGCTATATAAATGCGCCTACATAGTCTCTTCGTGCACAGTAAGGTTACCGAACAAAGTGAGCACCTAAGAGAGGTAGCATTGCAGCTGGATTTCCACTCTAGATGCATTAGGTTGGTCACACAGTCTCAAAGAGCAACGAGCATTTGAGTCTTTAGATGACTGAGCAAGTGTGTGGAATGGTCCTTAATATTGTACTGCTACAAATGAACAAAGAAAAAAGTCAATGTCCATAACAAGTTCCTACAACCCAAAYAACCTATTTTTATGTGCAACAGTTGGAATACCATCTCTCCTCCCCATCCATGGAAGACATTTAAACATTAATCACCTGGAGACTACATCTTTAACAAAATCCCCCTTGTCATCAGTATTATCCAGTGCTGTGTTAACACTGGTTTTCCTGGTTTGATTAGCTCTGCTGTTTGCTCTCACATGTGTTTTRAATTGACAGAAAAGTAATTATATCAGCTGTTTCACTTCTACCTGATGATCTCTCTTCTTCATACAAATAATTCCATATAAACTAGATACTTTCCATTTATTTGATCACTATGCAAAGCCAAGCCTATCTGGCCAAGTATCCAGCAGGATCTCCAAGTCAGTTTTAATCCCAGTGAAACTTAACGRCCCCACAAAACTTTGCTGGTAAACTAACAGTCCAGCCAAAGTGTTTGCAGAGTATCTGTCAGCAGCATGTGATGCAGAAAGGCAACAGTTACATCAGGTTCCACCAGCGACGCACAACTCCATCAGCTGGTAAATGCACTGGGAACAGCAGCAGTTTTTCAGTGTCATTAACATAATGTCAATTAAGAAAAAGCTGTCCACATTATTTAGTACACTGTTAGCTCTGGGTCATTCATTTATCCACACATCCAAGGCTTTTACTAGCATACACATCCACACACCAGTGGTTTACAGTTTTCACGTAACGGGAGAGATATTCTTCTAGTGAAGATACTTTTTACATAATTTTATTCAAAAATCCACTTCTGCATGTACCAAAATAACCTGTTGCTCATCGATAGATTCCTTCTAGATAGCAACTGCCATACTGACAACCTTCTTCCCTCACATTATGCAGAGCCAGAGTGGAAAGCGCTGCTGAAGACCACGATCCTCCCCTGAGGTCTCTGGGCAGTGGGATGTGAGAAAGGAAATCCCTGAAGCAAATATGCAATGAAACCAGCACAAGAAATAAATTCTAGATGTCACCTATGTCCCAGATGCAGCTGATAGCCAAACCATCATCACCCTTTGCTGCCTGGGAAATGAGTGTCCGTCTTGCTGCCCGACTGCTCACAGTCCAAACAACCCGAGTGGTTAATTCACAGTAAATAACACACTGAAGGAAATTACAGCAGGCAGGGGCGCAGCAAAGCCCATGTTAACTGAACTGCCTGGCTGTCCCGGCAGTGGCTTCCACACCTCGCAGTGCTGTCACCAAGAAAGCTTTTCCTTGCTTAGGAAGCATCCCCTTTCACCTCATGCTGTACTCACCTACTCCACTACTTCCATTCTCTGTAACAGCTCTTATAACCTTTGCTGAGCCACAAATGACAAGCAAATGAAACACTGTAGATACTCTCTGTGTCAGGCTGAGGAATTGCAGCTATAGAAAATAAATGAGCAAACTGCCTCGTGCCCAGCTCTGCCTAGGAATCACTGCTTGTCAGGCAGCCGAGGACCTTCCCAGCTACCCAATCCAAGATGCTTCTTGCAATTCGTTCAATCAGGCTGCCACAGAAGCTGCCAGACTTTTCTTCTCCTAGTTTGGGAAGGGGTTTCCATTGGGTAGGAAACATGAGCATTAAAAGAGACACCAGGCAGGAGCGTTGGGAGGGTTGGACACCAAACTTTGCCTGGACCCCAGGGGATTAAACTCCTTCTGTCCAGCCAACTCCTACACGGTAACTAAGCCCACTTMGAGACGCTTGCAGACTTGTGCAGCCTGGGGAGATCCCAGCGGAGGCACCCGAGCGCTCCGCTCCGCTTGCCCCGGCCCTGCTGGCGGGGCCTCCCGGCCGGTCGGCAGGAGCGGAGCGGAGCGGGTCCGGCTCCCGCGCTGCGCTGCGCTGTCCTGGCGCGCCCCCGCGCGGCCCCGCGCGCCCCCGCCGCCCCTTCTTACCGCTTCTTGGAGCGCCAGAGACTCCCGCCGAGTTCCACGAGAGCGCCCGAACGAACCCACGGGCAACGCGGCGTTCCCACCCGTGTCTAGCGGCACGCGCGAACCCCCTCGTGTTTCGGTTTTACGGTTCACACGGTCTCCAAGCGCCCGCGCTGAGGGCTTGTACAAGCCCTTGGGGCGGCGCTGGGCACTTGGCAGGGCTGCTGGCTCTGCGCGCCCCGAGCTATGATTCAGCAAAGCACTCACATTCGTGCTCACTCGGGCCCGGTTTCCAGCTCCCGTTATCTCGGCTAGATTTTTCTAGGGCACAAATGCCGCTTTCAAACTTCTTTCTGTCGCCGGGGGTCGGAGCTGTTAAAGGACATGCACACCAGCTAAAAATGAATTCTGGTTCTGAATTGAAGCTGGAAGGGAAACTTCACAACTCTGTAGCATCTGTCACAGAAAATTGCAAGGGGAGGAAACACYGATACAGTCTTTTCTTGACAGTTTGTGGTAAATACAGAAATTAGAACTAGCTGACTAGTGAGAAATAGCATGACGGTTTTTGCTCACTGAAAACCAAGTCTACATGGACTAAGTGCCCTCTGGTGCCAGCACCCAGCCCCAAGAGCGCATGCAAGCAAGCGGGAAGAGGACACCGCACCTCCCAGTGCGGACAAAAGCCAAGCGCCTCCAAGCTACCTGCCCAGCTACACGGCAACCTGGCAGTCGGGCACCTTTCAGAAAAGCTGAGACAGCCTCGCTTCACAAGACTGTGTCTCGGTTTTTAGTACAAAAATATAATCACATGGTGGTCATAAACACCAGGGAAAAAAAAAGGAATTAAAAAAAGGAATAAAAAAAAAGAAGTTAGCATTTTCAAAGCAATGGCAACACAGCTTTTTGTAGGCACATGTCCTTGTCGCTCAAGTTAAAACTCCCAGTTTACAGCAAAATGACACAGCGGGGAACACTCAATTTTGTTTTGAGTATTTAGGTAAAGCGCTGGTGACTACCACCTGCATCAGGAATCACAACCCTGGCTGCTGGCTACTTGCATCCAAACTCCTCTCCGCAACATCCCACCAGAAAGCGCTCTGCTGCCATGGAGTCTACTACCTGCTCTACTTGCCCCCGTCCCCTCATGTTTTAGAAAAGYACTGAGCCTAGATAAAGGGAAATGCCAACACCTACCAAATATCACATGTGCCCAAACCATAGAAAGCCATATAGTAGAAAAGCAAACTTTAAAATTCCAATATTGTTAGCCAACTACTGCATACAGTACCTAGAAATTCCTGTATCTCACTTTGACCAAGCCAAACTACCTATTCTAAAGAAGGGGGCCAACCTAGAGCTTGTGCCTTCATTTTCTTTCTCTTTCAAACTTCCTATGTGACTCGGCAAGGCACTTAGCCTCTCTCTGYCCATGGTATTTTCCTACTCCATCCCTATGGAGATAAATTAACACTTATGATAATAAATACAGCTGCCATGGCAAGTATTTCCTTTCAAACAGCATCTGACCCTCGCCAACACACCACATATTTCGTTAGTTTTTTTTTGGGTATCAAGAACTCCAAGCTTTGGCATGCTATTAGAAAGTTAGTTGGATCACATCGACTTTCTGCTTGATGTACAAATATCCAACTCTGATTAAGAGAATTAGTTCCCCACAGTTCACCTCACTTCTCTATCTTGAACCGGGGTACATTTAAACATCCAACCCTAGACAAACATCTCTGAGATCAAAGATGTTAGGAGACGAACAGTTAGGCTTCATAGCCTGGCTAAACAGATTGATATTACTCTTTGTCTTAACAATAAGAAGCTAAAATGTTAACAAAAGCTTAATTTAGTGATACATAATTTGTCATCAGCGGTCCTAGCTTAAGTTCTCCAATAGACTTGCATTCAAGGAAATCATGTATCCAAACTTTCAACATACTTATGAAGTTAGTAATCCTAAAACATCTACCTATGCACGCACTGAATCTATATGCACCTATTTGTGCTGGACAAAGTTGCCAGTGAAGGGAAAACCCTACTGAATTACCAAAGCTAACAGAGTTAGGCTGATAAGCAATAATACCATTCAGTGCCTTCTTTTTCCCACCCAAAGAACGAGACTTGCCATTCCAAATTAGTTTTTTTTTTTTAAATTTAAAAACAGTTACAGAAGGCACCCACAAACAAACAAAAAAAAAAAAAAAAAAGTGTTTCTCCAAAGACTGCTCCTATGCTACACTTACCCTGAGTAACAGAAAGTTTGTTTCCTTTACTTTCTGTCACAGCTTAAACAAAAGCATTTTAAAAGCAACATTTGCAGTTGCAGCAACAACCGAAGCCCCACAAATACCTGACACCTGGGGAGTTTACTAGAACCCAGGCATGTGCGTCCTGTCAGATATTTTAATAGAGGGGGAAAGAGCAAAAAAAAARAGAGCAAAAAAAATGCTAATGCAGACAACGAAGGAGCAATAAGCCCACAGATGCTCACCTTTGCAGCAGCTGATAACCTGAAAGTTGTTCTGTGCCCAGAGCATAAGAGTTTTGCACAGTCAGATAGGAAAGGGGCTGCTGAGCGAGGACACGATGATTACAGGGGTGTCTGTATGTGCCGCTACAGCCGCTCCCTGGGGCTTGACTAGGGGTTCCCAGGCACTACTGGCAACTACCACACATCAGGAACAAGACACATCTGAGGAAGAAAATAGGCAACCTTACCTGGCGCTRTCACCAAAATACCCCTTTCTGCATCCCTCTGAACTCCAGTCAGAAGCTCTAATTAAAGCACCACCCATTTCTCTGGCTTAGTTCTCTCCAGTAAAATACAACTCTCTCCCCCTTGGACATCTCKGCTTCACCAGGCTCACCGCTTAAAAAGGAGCGGCCGAAGTGACTGGACTTTAAAGCACCGCAGCTGGACGGGCGCGAACAAGAGCCAGGTGCCAAGTTACCTAACTGCCCCCGTGCCGCCCGCTGCGGCCAACAACCCTCAGCACAATTTCACAGCTCTTCATCAGCCAGAGACGCCCTGCCGAGTTCGCTGAGGGAGGTCTAATCACTCAGAGGCTGCAGGAGCCGGGCCCGGGTTTCTGCTTCTAGCGGGAAGGTTTATCCGGAGCGCGGCGCTCCGCGCAGGAGGGAGGCGAGCCCGTGMCTCCCGCTCCAGCCGCGCCGGGACTCCGTGCCCAAGCGGGGCACGGCGGCCGGCAAAAACACCTGACGTGGGGGGAAAAAAGAATCAGGAATCACAAGCAGCGAGCTAACTCTCCGGTTGTAAGCCTTACACGAACATCAAAAGTAGGGGGGAGCAGGCGGCATGGGCAGCGGAGAACTCGCGGCTCTTTAAAGTCACCTGCCTTGGATTAAAAAGGGGAGGGAAAGAAAATAGCAACCTTAACTCCGGTTCCCTCCTGAAGTTGGGTCCGTGGGGACCGTTTCCAGACGCCGCCCGGAGGAGAAGCCCCCAGCGATGCCGCTTCCCGGGGCTCGCGCCCCGCGCGCCTCTTCTCCCCTCCCCTCCCCTCCCCGTCCCGTGCCGTTACTAACGGCCGCGCCAACGGCCGCTGCCAACGGCCGCGCCCCTACCTGGCTGGCGGCGCGCGCCCTTGCGCGGCGCCTTGTGCGCGCTCAGCGGCTGGCGGGAGGGCGGCGCGGAGCCTCCGGCAGCGCCAGCCCCATGTGAGGAGGAGCGCGGGAGCCCGGCGGCTCCACCAGCGCCGCCGCCGCCGCGCGGGGGAGGGCCGGGCCGGGCCGGGCACGGAGGGGGCGGGCGCGCCTTGACGCGCCGGGCCCCCCGCGCCCCCCTCCCCGCCCCCGGAGCCGCCCGGCCCCGCGCGGCGCCGCAGCCGGAGCCGCCGAGCCCGCGGCAGCGCCCCCTGCGGGCCCCGGCGGGCGCCACCGGAGCCGCGGCGCCGCCTCGGCGCCCGTCCCGGCCCGTCCCGGCCCGTCCCCGCGGCGCGGCCAGCCCGGCCCCAGCTGCCCGGCCCCAGCTCCCCGCCCCGCTTCGCCTCCCGCTCAGCCCCAGCGCTGAACGGCCGCGGGGAGCGCGCCGTGCAGGGCGCCGAGGCCCGCGCGCGAGGCGGCGTCGGGCAGCAGGGGCGCCCGCAGCGGCCAAGACACCCCGGGACCGGGATGCCGGTCCCCGAGGCGCCGGGCGCTCCWTGACTCCGGCAGGGAGCTCCGGTTCCGGGGCGGCATTGGGGCCCCACGCGGCAGCGCTGCCTTGCCGGGCCACAGGACACGGTGGTCACACAGTTACTCCCGGCACTGGGGCTCGTACCAGTTACACAGCGCCCTATGGATGTCCTAACGGGAGTGACAGCACAGCCCCTACCAAGCAGGAAAATCCTTCTCGTGGTTAACCCCCGGCACGAGCACCTGCGGCAGCGGGAGCGTGCTGGGCTTTGCCCRCCCGTGGCAAACGCTCTGTCCCGCTCGGGCTGAGGTGCCTCCCTGCCAAGGCCCTGGCCGCCTGCCCAGAGATCCTCCGGTGGCGCACAGGGCTGCGCTCGCGCTTCCCAGCTAAGCACGTGCSGAAATATTTGCGGGATACAGCATCTCCGTGCGGCAGCTCCCCACCCGGGCACTCTCATTTCTCCTCCCTCCCGACCGCCTGATGAAGATAAATTCCCCAGGCTCCGTGAGGCTGCAGACCTGACAGTGACAGAGCTCCCACAGCACAGGCACAGGGAGAGAGTTGCCGCGCTTGTGTCCAGTCCTTCCCCAAATAGACACACAGCCACAACGCTTTGCAAGGAAGCTTCTTCCCCGCAAAGCAAAAGCCAACGGAAGGGAAAGGAGCACAAACCTTCCTTGTGCCCTCAGCTTCAGGTCTGGTGTGTGCTGAGCYGGCAGCCCCGCGGTGTGAAGCGAGGAGCGCGGGCGGGCGAACGCGTCCTGCAGCCCGGCCAGGGCGCTCGGCACTCGCTTTCCATGTTAAAAGCACCAGCAACAACTGGGGGGCAGCTGAACCCCGCTGCCAGGAAGCCCTGGCTCTCTAGTTAGAGACTTTGACACCACATTGCCAGCATGGAAAGCACATCTTAGAAATACACACTGTAAATCCAAATTTTTCTCAGTGTGGCTAAAGTGCAAATTAAAAGCAGGGTTTTAGTGAGCATTTTGTGCAAAACACGCTAATCAGCTGTTTGTTCACTGCAGGAAAATCAAAGATTGGTCATTGTATTCATGCACCCACAGAGGTAAACTTACTTTTATAGTACAGTGAGATTTACATAATTCACTTCCACAAACACTGATTTCCCTCCTTTTTTGCTCAGTTCTTCTCTGCTACTGTTTTTCACAAATGTAAAGGCTGAGATTTTCTTCCTCATTTAGAGCACCTAGTGCCTTATATCCTAACTAGAAAACTAATGAAGCTCTCCAGGTTTYCCTTAGTTTTACTTGAATCTTGCAAATCCCTGAGCTTACTAACAGCAGTTGCAGCTCAAAGAGAGGCAAGCACTGAAATCCGCTCATCAGGCATCCGGGGGAGGTCCACGTGTGACTACAAATTGCTCGTGAGGAAGCTGCAAGKAAGGAGAGGGATCCAACCCAGACCCGTGCTTGACCAAATCAGGACCAACCCTGAAACTGGGATTTCTGTCCTCTGCCCTAGGCTGCGTCGTTCAAACACACTGCCCATTCTGAGGCACGGATATAGCAAGRGCCTTGACCATCACCCCAGACTGATATTCACCCCGCAGCCCACACAGCTACGCGCCTTGACAGTTCCTCTGCTTGCTAATATCACCTGCTAGTCCTGCTAATACTGCTCAGCACCCCTGCTTAGCAGGACAGGGAGCTGCTGGAAGGGACAGAGCTCCTAGGAGTACCTGCTTCCTCCTGTGGGTGGCATCAGGATATCTTCAGCGGGCCAAGGCTTGTGCAGAAGGGAGAGGAGAGATGCTCCTCTTCACCRATGCACGGGCTGCTTGCTCACGGGAGCTAAGAAGGCCTTTGAATCCAGTGTATGACCGAGAGTGGCCAGAATTGGCATCACTTCATCAGCCTTCTTAATTCTGACAAATCAAGATTATCAGACCTTGTACATTTGGCTGTGCACACTGCAGGATGTACARGATGCAAATCATTAAAACTCCCGGTTCCTATAGCTTTAGCAAAAACAGAGCTTCATCACCACCAGGAGTAGTTTCATTTCCTTTTATGCAGGTCTTGRTGAGACAACCACAACATGGCATTCATGAGTGAACCTGTCACACTGCTCCTGCAGGACAGAGAAGCACAAATGTAAGCCCAGATGTTACAGGCCACYGATTTTCACAGCTTTTCTAAACATTTCCACTGGTATCCAGAGCAGGGTTGTCCTGTGYTCTCACACTGCAACTGTCAATGGTTGTTTCTGGTGGCTGAAGAGCTCAGCAAAGACCTTTTCACRCTTATGGAGACAAATTAGCGCGTCCCTCCGAGCCGACACCGGCTCTCCAACACTCAGGTGCTGACGTCCAAAGCGGTGTGCGTGCAACTGAGCAAGTGCCTGCCTTGCTTACCTGTGCGGAATAGCACCGTCAATATTTAGCTCACTGATTTGTGCATTTCTTGAGTGCTAATGTCGAGAATATAAAGCTTGTTCTGGCCCCAATTTTAGAATATTTTCTTCAGGGTTTGAGTGATGACTTGTACTGTTAAGCTGCCTGTAACACAAAGGTATGCAAGTTGAGACCATAACCACAGTAAGGCTTAATAAGCTTTTGCCCAGCAATCATTACCAATAGTAAAAGGAGAAGCAGGTCAGAAACTTCAAAATACATCAGGAAAAATGTTTTTTTCTTTTTTTTTTTCTTTTTTTTTCTTTTTTTTTTCTTAAACTGCTTTAAAAGCATTTTAATTGACATAAGTTGGTGCCTGCTGTCTTTGCAAGGTGTAGCTAACACTCATACTTCACTAAGAATCACAGAATCACAGACTGGTTGACGTTGGAAGGGACCTCTAGAAATCACGCAGTCCAATCCCCCTGCTCCAGCAGGGACACCCAGAGCACGTGGCACAGGGCAGCATCCAGGTGAGTCTGGAAGGCCTCCAGAGAAGGAGACTCCACAACCTCCCTGGGCAGCCTGTTCCACTGCTCTGTCACCCTCACAGTGAAGAAGTTCCTCCTCACATGGAGATGGAACTTTCTGTGTTGCAACTTAGACCCATTGTCGMTTGTCCTGTCACTGGTCACCACTGAGAAGAGCTTGGCCRCTTCCTCTCTACATTCTCCATGAGTTTATACATGTTAATCAGATCCCCTCTCAGCCTTCTCTTCTCCAAGTTAGACAGGCCCAACCCACTCAGTCTCTCCTCATACGAGAGATGCTCCAGTCCCTTAATCATCTTTGTTGCCCTCCGCTGGACCCTCTCGAGAAGTTCCACATTCCTCTTATACTGGAGAGCCCAGAATTGCCCCCAATGCTCCAGGTGCGGCCTCACTAGACCTGAGGAAAGGGGCAGGATCCCCTGCCTCGACCTGCTGGCAACACCATGGTTAACATGGTTGCCTGCATTAATTGCCTTAGAGATCAAACAGATGATCTGCACAGTGACTAGTAASGTGGGACATCTTTGCTTTAAACCTTAGGTACATGAGGAAAGCTGATATTCTGACAGCACTAACCAACTTCCT